TGCTCCTCCAAGGTTGTTCCAAACGTGGTTCAAATCATGCACTAAACCTTAATCAAAATTACGCTGTGGGATATACACACATGTAGCGCTGGGAAGAGAATCAAGATTTTTAAATCAGCGCTTCAACCAGTTGCACTAATTGAGAATATGCACTATATACTTACAGCACGGCATTTATCTATGATACACAAACCATTACAGGGCAGTACTCTTAGATGTACTGTCAGAGCACCTGCTACACTACACCACAATTATCCTTAGAAGTGGTGCGAGTCTGAAATAATAATTCTGGCTATTTGCATCAATATGTAAACTGCAACACATTTTAAATCATGCTACACTTTGGTACGACATTAAGCCAGTACTAATCGTTTTACATAGATGACATACTGGTAAACTAAAATGAATCCAACTCGTGAAACAATGTTTGGAAGAACGTATGTTTTGGAAGTTACCAATACAGTATGATGCTTGCTGTAATACTGGCTAAGCACAGCGTAACGATGCCCTGAAGGTCTTCTCCTCAACCATCTTCCCCTTCGGGCATCCTGGGAAAGCAGGAGGAGGCAGGGTTTGCAAAAACAGCCCAGCGTGCTTTTAAGAACAACTCTGTTTCACAGGATTCCAGCCCATACAGCCGTGTAGGAGGAAAAGAGAGGAGTTTTCTTTTCATACATTCAACACACATTAGGAAGAAAGTTCAGAAGTTAACCAAGTGAATCGACATATTTGTTTGCATGTGGCTTTCTACAGAAGGGACACTGATGAACAAAGAGCAGTGTAATCCCTTAGGAATGAGAAGCTGGCTTAAAACGAACAACATGCGAATTGTTGGGGACAGTTACAGCGTCAGAGTGATGAGCCTACCAGCGACCGACGGACACATGTGTCCGTGACACACTTCTAACAGTACCAGCTGCTACAATCCACAGGGCCAGATGCTTTTGATGTAGACAAACCTCAGGCTGCCTCCAAACAGATTGCTGCTCTTGTGGACTGCAAAGGGAGATTCACGGTGGTGCAAAACGGAGAAAAAAAAAATATGGATGAGGGTGAAGAAGGTGCTCAAATTTATGCCTGAAGAGAGATCTAACCAACAACAAATAATTAGGAGAGAAAATAAGGTCATCTCCAAAAGAACTGGTCTGAAAAACTCCTGGCTCACATGTGATCATGCTAAAGGATAACGCAGCATGAAAAAGGTAAACAAACGAGGTCTCCTAAGAAAGATTTTGTGTTACTTAAAAAGGGACCATGATTTTAAAAGAAAGGTGTGGAGGTCACAGAAGACTAGAGAGGCCCTTGCCCACCATCAGGAGAGAGCAGCTGCTGCCTCCAGCAACAGCAAAATAAAAAATGCTAAAGGCACCAACCTATTTTTACTGTAAAGGAGAAGAGAGCTCGGTTACGGAGTCAGCAGTTGCAGGCAGTCCCCTGCAGTGGGGGCAGAGGTGGGCTTTCAAAGCAGCAGGAACAGCACCCCATGGACGGGCCCTCCCAGCCCGCGAGTGGGAAGGAAGGGCTCGCTGGCACTGCTCCTCGCCGGCAGCAGGGCAGGGACGCTGACCCAGGACAGAGCGCGGCACGGCAGGGAGCAGCGTCCCTTGGCTGTCCCCTGCTCCCACGGTTCGCAGAGGGTCAGGGTACGCAGAGCCTCACGCTCGGAATAAACACTGGGCTGCAGCTTGCGCTGAAGGGAGCATCGCGCTGGCCCCGGCGTCATCCTGGAGCACAGCAAGTGCGCAGGTGGCACAAAAGCTGCTTTGTCTCCTCCAGCACAGCTCCCGTGGACATCTGTAACTGATCCAGCCTGATAACTGCAGGTACTCCAGCTCCCACAGGACAGAGCTGTAAAAACATGCATGTTAAGGTCCAGCTTTCCCTTTCTGTGTTCCCCGTCCTCCCCTTCTTTCTCAAAGGAAGATAACTGTGCCCTGCAGCTCAGGGAAAAAAGAAGCATCCCCTGCCCGGATCCTAAAGCCCCTATACTTTAAGATCCGCCTGAAAGGGCTTTTGTACAGTATTGCAGTGAGACTCTTTAAATCTCAACTGGTACGTTTCTGAAATCCCATTCATTTATACTATCCCAGCTTGAGTGCCTGCCTGTGGTGTTTGTAACAGACTTAGCTTAATCTAAGCAGATTTAGCACTAATAACTAGAGCTCTCTAATGCATATTGCAATTACATATCATACTGGGAAATCCTGTCCCCCAAGCAAAAACATTGCTGCCTCCCAGTAGCGGAAGCAACTAATACTAATCTAAACAGATCTCCAGACGTTTCAGGCACTGCTTGCTCCCATTCACAAGTAACCTCTAGCATTCAAGAAGGCAAAGCCTAAGCAGCATGTTTTGTTCCATTTTTAATGATATATGGATTTAATTCAGGATTCCCAGTAACACTCGTGCTGAACTTTCACATTTGTCCTCCATCCATCCTCTCCACAGAGAATGTTCTTCATTGGAAGCAGCTGCTCCCCCTTTGCTCTTTATGAGCTGTATGAGATAACACAAATGTTTAGAGGGGATTTTTGTCTTACTCAGAACAAAATTACTTTTCTGCCTGTCATAAGCTAAAGGAAGTGAGCCTGAGAGAAGAATTAGGCAGTAACGAGCTCCAAAGGCTGCAGAAGTAAACTGGAGGATTGAAGACTGCTCCTTCTTCACCTCAAATATTTCCCTTTTATTTTTTTAACTGTTTCACGTGATGGTTGGGTACTTACTGCACATGTGTATCTGATGATTGATAGGAGAGCCAACATCAATTCCAATCTCTGCTAAGCCCTACTGTTCCATCGATACAGAAAATCTGCCATTCAGGCTCCCTGTACCATACCCAAAACAGCAACATATAAAGCACCACTATACATGCACTAGCTCAGATTTGTCCCAAACCATTAGCAAGTTATCTTTGTGCTGGTCAGCTTCGTGCTAAATCTGCATTTCCTAGCACAGACGAAAACAACTCTGCATTGTGTTTACTGCTCAATTCAACAAAAATACCATTCTCAATCCACACTTGGTCCATAGCAAAAAGGGAAGAGGGACAAGAAATCAGGTCTAATATTAAAGATTGCTTAACTTGAAGGGCAAGGTCTAGATTAATTCCACTGAACTTTGAGTACTTTGCCAATACATCTAAAGTCAGCAGCCACATTATCTCAGACCTCCTCTATAATCAAAGGAAAGCTATACCTACCTCCAGAACGTTATTCAACTTAGCTGATTTTCCACCTGAGTGTGCCTGCCTCTCCCTACTGACTACTAGGAGCCTCAGGCAATGAGCCAGTACTACAGTCAAGCAGGTGAAGTCTGGCCCTGAGCATGGGATAACACAGCATCTCTCCTAACTTGCATAGGAACATGAGAAACTGAGGGGAAAAAAAAAAAATATGTAAACCTGTATTTCACATTAAAACCAGGCAGGTATAATTTGAAATAGATTGCAAAGAACATTCAGACAATAAGAAGCAACAGTAGTCAAGAGGAGTTTGCTCTCCATATATGTGACCTGTCTCTAAGGGGCATGTTATTGTTGTTCTGCCATGGAGCAATACAGCTGAATAAAACCTGAGAGCCCCTCACCCTCTGAGGAGATTGGTCTTTACAGCTCAATAGGCTCGATCCAAATATAAGCCCATCCAAATTAACAGAAAAGACTCCCTTTGACTGCAGTGCACTCTGCATCCACTACATGTTAATTGCTGGTGTTAACGGCCACGTGCTCATCACTGAGAAATGCCACCCAGACACAGTTCCTTGCTATCCACCATTTGTAAACCCACAGCAGCAAAATCACAGAAATAAACTGCGCTGGTTCAAGGGAGGTGAAGCCTTTCAATACACCCCTACCCTAAAGCTGGCTCCCAGGACAGCAAAGACAGTTTTATTAGGTTGCAGCCATGTGGTGATCTCTGTGAAACGAGCTCTGGATCCCAGCGATCATTCTCCTACTGCATCTGTGCGCCGATGGGTACTGCGAAAGGCCAGTGGCCTGACCAACTCTGAGGACTGACCTCCCTCATCCTCCCAGGAAGCAGAGTGTTTTATTAGCAGGGAAACAGGCTGCATTTGTGGTTTTACTACCTGTGAAAGCACTTGTTCTGTGAAGAGTGAAAACTTCCATCTCAAGTGCTGTAAACATCATAAACACTACAAACATTTTAAAATAAAGCCACAACTGCCTTTATTATCATCACTTCGGCACATGTCACCCCTGAAGTGCTTAGCAAACACACTCTCATATGGAAATGTACTATTTGGTCCCAGGGGTAGTTAATGAAGTTTTATAAGTAATGCTGCTGAAGTACCTCGCAATTATGCAAGTCATTTCTGCTCAGGGAAGATGCTGTAGGCTTCTCAGTTTATCTATCTCATTAATTTCCATCTTCCTCTATGTGAACTACCACTCACTACTCACCATTAAGCAATTTGTTTTCATACTGATATTAGAAAAGCAAAGGAAAACAAAGACCCTCATGGAGAAAGATTTTCCTCTAAAAACAGAAGCACATCAACATGTAACAAATACACCCGAACAAAGTCCGTATTTTAAAAGACAACCTTGTGGCAGCCTATGTTGCATTCATAGAGCTTTGTGAAGCTAGGTGTCATGAAACAATTTGCTGTCTTTTAAAGAGAGCACTTACCCAAGGGAATAGAGACGGCATTGCTTGCTTCTGATTCGATGAATGAGGCTAAACCTCTCGTCAAGACAGATCGACCAGGGCTTCTTTGCAGTTTCAGAGTACCCTCTCAGGCTGTTCAGGTTCATGTGTTCACATGAAATCTGTTAATATGAAACATCCCTTGATTTCAAGACATGACTTTTAATTTGTTTTTAATTTGCCTTCTGG